ACATAGTATGCATACACTTCCAATCATTAACAGAATCATTTTATTAAAGAGAGATGTTAGGGCTGCAAACAAAGCCTTACAGGACAGTAAACTTCTGGAAAGTGGACAAAACTTTTAGCTGTCTAGCTCAGTGTTTTTCAATCTTTTTTCATTTGCAGACCCCTAAGACATTTCAATTGGAGGTGTAGACTCATTTGAAAACTTTGACTGGTGCAAACCCCTTTGAATTGTAAGTGTGGGTATTCACACACTTTTAATTGATCATAGTCATCTTTTGCAGACCCTTTAGAAATAGTCTGTGGACACTGAGAACCACTGGTCTAGTTGCTTAGGTTTCTTATTTTTATTTCTCATTCATTGATTAACAGAATGAAGATCTTATAGTGACATTTACAGATTTTAAACACTGTAAAACTAACTAGTACTTGATTCATAATTATCACCATCTTAGTCTGATTCAAAATGCCTGAAGTTAAAAGGAAATGATAAGCAGGTGACTGGTCTGAAGCAATGAAATGTTTTAAAAGTAAAAGCTTAAATATTCTCAATAATTTAGTAGTAAGTGACTTCCCTTGGAATGGAAAACTGCTTTTTTGTTTTCTTCTAAAACTATGCCACTTAATGAAACTTAAGTCTACTGGAAAAGAGAGAGGCAGAAAATGGATGAACCTGAAGATGCTGCTAATGAGACAATGCTTTTAGTGTTACTAATTCACCTCGGAAATCATTTTGATCAAACACTTTCCATACTATAGGGAGTGGCTGCATTGCAAACAGCAAATCCCTGGTGAGGAGGGGATTCCTTAAATTAAGTTGTTTGTTAGCAACTATTTTAGCAGTGCCAATCAGTGGTTATGCTGCAATTTGCAAGACTCCTCACCACAACTAAATTACTTCTGATCTTAACTCTGACCTCTGGCACATCTACACTGCTAGGTTTTGTAAACACACCCATCCAGCCTTGAACTAGTTAGTTTTTTCTAGTGGTAGCAATGCAGCTACCTGCCTCAAATCTTTGCTCAGTTTCTTGAAAGAGTTTTGAAGCCCATTCTGTGCTCCATGCTCTTGGAGTTACACTGCTACATGCGTATACAGAAACTAGCTAATCTAAAGCTACTTGAAGTATGTCTATGAGAATGGTAGTGTAGACGCATGTAGAGGGTAAATATGCATATGTAGTAATGAAGTACAGAAAGTGTTTTATATTAGTGTAGTGCGCAGGTTTGTTATTACCCTGAAATAGAATAGTTTTCTGATAAGCATACTGTTAGGTTTACAATAATTTAGATTATTAGGAAATATTAGCTTTACAGCTGAATACAAGGCATGACCTGTGGCCTAGCAATGCAGCTGACCACAAGGCAGATTGATAGCTAAACCTTTGCTTGTGTCAAGTAATCATTTTAACTGTATTAAGCATTTTCTGAGTTAAAAGCAGCAAGTATCTCTGTGTCTGTGTGCTGAAAAATCAGCTACAGCAAAAAATAAGATAAGACAGGGAAACCATTGTTCTGGGTGCACTGGTTGTGTCCTTGAGAAGTATCTACTACTGTATAAGGTTTTGCTAACATATTATAATGTTACTGTTACTTAACTTTTAGCTTTTTAAAAAGTGCTAGTTCAGCTTAATAAAAATATGCTGTTACAAAGATTTGAAAAGCACCGCCCAAGTATTGCTTTTTTTTGTTAACCATGAAGTCTTGCCTTGTTGTAATAAGTATAAAAGATCACCTCACCCTTAGGGGGGGGCCATTTTGCCTTTTGCTGGCTTTATGGTCTTTGCTCGAGCAAATAAACAGCTGTCTTTCTTTACCCGCGTTGTCTGTCAATCAAATTACAGCTAGACAACGAACCTTAGCGAGGTTTCTCCCACCACACAGCCCACGTGCAGCTCATTGTTTTGGGAGGGTGCTGCCAGCAGTAGAGGCAAGAGCTGGCATGACTGGATGTGTTAGCGCTGGAGCAGGCTACGTGGTGATGTGCATCCAGGCAGAAGCTGAGCGTCCGCTGAGCATGTCAAAGCAGAAAGACCTACTCACCTGTCGCCCGTGGGGCCTTGGCTGCTTCCAAGGGACGGCTGCAGGCCCCGCACACACCTCGGACTGCCCAGAGTGACCCTTGCAGACACCACACGACACGACACGTCCCGGGGGCCCTTCTGCCCCATGTCCCGCTCCTGTCACGCTGCGGCCCCTCGCTGAGACGCTGGCTCCAAGGACGGGGGCACGAGGAGGAGCCTGCGGGAAAGGGCAGACCCTCGTCAGACACTTTCACGGGAATGAAAACGCACGCACCGCTTACCGCACCGCAGTCGAGGAAATGACGCCCGGGGGCCGGCCCAGCACATTCCCATGAAGAGTGCTGAAATCAATCCCCACACAAAATGACCACTTTCCCACGCAAAAGCCATCACGTGCCGTCAAGAAAGCTTTCCAAATGCCCACGCCATTTCCCTCACACACCACATCCGCGTAGGCCGACTTTTACCCAATCCCCACACAATTTTCCACAGGTCCCGCAACACGCCAGTCGAATCAAAAAGTTCCTAAATCCCCCTACAATATATATACAGATATACGGAGCGGTAGATACATAGAGATTTAGAGAGATGAATCTGGAGGTATATAGAGCTCGACATATGTAGACATGTAGATATATGAAGCTGGAGCTATACAGAGCTGAAGATATACTGAGCTGCATATAGATAGATATACAGCTCTCTATATATGAAGCTGGATCTCTTCAGAGCTCCAGATATTTACACCTGGAGATATTCAGGAAAGTAGATATATAGAGATGTAGATCTATGAAGCTGGAGATGTGCAGAGCTGGAGATATATAGACAGGTAGATACAGAAAGCTGGAGCTATTCAGAGCTGGAGATATTTAGACCTTGAGATATGCAGAGCTGGAGATATTCAGAGAGGTCGATATATAAATAGGTAGAGGTATGAATCTGGAGATATGTAGAGCTGGAGGAATCTAGAGATGTACATATATGAAGCTGGAGATATTCAGAGCTGGAGATATTCAGAGCTGGAGATATTCAGAGCTGGAGATATTCAGAGCTGGAGATATTCAGAGCTGGAGATATTCAGAGCTGGAGATATTCAGAGCTGGAGATATTCAGAGCTGGAGATATTCAGAGCTGGAGATATTCAGAGCTGGAGATATTCAGAGCTGGAGATATTCAGAGCTGGAGATATTCAGAGCTGGAGATATTCAGAGCTGGAGATATTCAGAGCTGGAGATATTCAGAGATGTAGGCAGCTGAATCAGGAG